TCCTTTCACAAGGTCATGAGATGCAGCTTTCATTAGCATCCTGGTTAGCACATCTATCACAAGGTTAAACAACAAAGGGGAGGCAGGGTCACCTTGTCTAAGCCCTTTACTAGTAGTAAAGAAATTCCCTTCTATACCATTAATTTTTACACCAATAGAGCCTAATTGAGTAATTTGTTTAATCCAATTTATCCATCTAGGGCCAAAGTTTCTTTTCTCCAGCACCTCATACAAGAAGTCTAGATTGACCTTGTCAAAGGCTTTCTCATAATCTAGTTTAATCACTACACCAGAATTATTAGAATGGACAGTAGAGTGCAGCACCTCATGTGCTGTAACTACACTCTCTAAAATAAATCTGCCTTTTATGAAGGCAGACTGGTTGCTAGAAGTAAGGATGTTCATTAGTTTGGCTAGTCTGTTAGTCAGAACCTTTGTAAAAGTTTTGAAAATACAATTTAAGAGACTAATTGGCCTAAACTTTTTCATGCTAGCAGCATCTTTCTTCTTAGGTACTAGTGTGATAGTAGCAAAGTTAAGTCTATATATGTCAAGCTCCCCCTCATAGAAATCTTTGAAGAGGGCCATAACATCTTCCTTCAAAATCTCCCGGAACTGTTGTAGGAAGAGGAAAGAGAGGCCATCAGGGCCAGGAGCTCCATCTGAGTAAGATCCAAAAATGGCCTCTTTTACCTCTTCCTCGGTAAAGGGGGCTTGGAGGGATAGATTGTCTTCATATTTGACTTTTTCTCCTTCAGAGAAAAAATCCCTACTGAGTCTAAATCCTTTTCTATCTTCTTTTTTAAAAAGATCTTTATAAAAAGAGGTGGCAATGTCTAGCATGTCTTTAGTGTCACTAACAGTGCCATTAGGGCCTTCTAGTGAATGGATCAGGGTCTTCCTTCTCCTCTGGTTGGCTACAGCTTGAAAATATTTAGTATTCCTATCACCTTCTAAAATATCCTTATCTCTAGATCTTTGTTTGGCTTTAATTTCATCTTTCAGCCAAATTTGCTGAAGCTCTTGCAGTATCTTTTTCATCTTATCAACCTCAGAATCAGATAACTGCTTAGTTTCAGCCCTAACATCTAGTGAGTCAAACTCTTGAGTGAGGCTGGCTTTATGCTTTCTAAGCTCAGCCTCAATGTTCCTACTCCACCCTTTAGCAAACCTCCTAAACCTCCTAGCTTTCACCTGCCAAATATCTATAGCTTTTTTTGTTGGGGAACGTAGTAATTTCAAAAAATTTCCTACATACACGCAAGATCATGGTGATGGCATAGCAACGAGAGGGGAGAGTGTTGTCCACGTACCCTCGTAGACCGTAAGCGGAAGCGTTAGCACAACACGGTTGATGTAGTCGTACGTCTTCACGATCCGACCGATCCAAGCACCGAACGTACGGTACCTCCGAGTTCAGCACACGTTCAGCTCGATGAGGATCCCCGGGCTCCGATCCAGCAAAGCTTCGGGGATGAGTTCCGTCAGCACGACGGCGTGGTGACGATGATGATGCTCTACCGGCACAGAGCTTCGCCTAAACTCCGCAACGATATGACCGAGGTGGAATATGGTGGAGGGGGGCACCGCACACGACTAAGGAATGATCCATAGATCAACTTGTGTGTCCATGGGGTGCCCCCCCCCCCGCCCCCGTATATAAAGGAGCCAGGGGGGAGGAGGCGGCCGGCCAAGGAGGGCGCGCCAAGGGGGGAGTCCTACTCCCACCCTTCTTTCCTAGTTGGAATAGGAGAAGGGGGGAAAGAGGAGGAAGAGGGGAAGGAAAGGGGGGGCGCCGCCCCCCTTCCCTTGTCCTATTCGGACTAGGAAGGGGAGGGGCGCGCGGCCCCCTCCTGCCTCCTTCCCTCTTCTCCCTCGAGGCCCATGTAGGCCCAATAACCCCCCGGGGGGTTCCGGTAACCTCCCGGTACTCTGATAAAATGCCGATTTCACCCGGAACGATTCCGATGTCCAAATATAGGCTTCCAATATATCGATCTTTATGTCTCGACCATTTCGAGACTCCTCGTTACGTCCGTGATCACATCCGGGACTCCGAACAAACTTAGGTACATCAAAACTTATAAACTCATAATAAAACTGTCATCGTAACATTAAGCGTGCGGACCCTACGGGTTCGAGAACTATGTAGACATGACCTAGAACTATTCTCGGTCAATAACCAATAGCGGAACCTGGATGCCCATATTGGTTCCTACATATTCTACGAAGTTCTTTATCGGTCAAACCGCATAACAACTACGTTGTTCCCTTTGTCATCGGTATGTTACTTGCCCAAGATTTGATCGTCGCTATCCAATACCTAGTTCAATCTCGTTACCGGCAAGTCTCTTTACTCGTTCCG